GTGGGAACAGCTAGGTATATTGAAAGAAATAAAAGGACTCAAATTTACCTATTTTTTTTTTTTTTTTTTTTTTATAATTTTACCGAATGAAACCGATCCCGACCGGAATTATATAAAGAAAAAAATACTATAATTGTAATGTTGAATTTGGCTCTTTTGTTGTAATATGAGTAAAAACTTACTTGATTTATTTTTTAAACATGTTATATAGGTGGCAGGTGCCTTTAGTTTGATAAATTTGTTAATTTTGCATTATTTTCGATCGGATCGGGATAGGTTTTTACTGTAAATTTAGAAACATTTCCTAAATTTGGCTCTTCATTTTAATTTATCAGAAAAATATGCTTGTCTTTTATTTCTTTTCAGTCAGTTAACTGTTTTTAAATGAGTGTAACCATAGATTCAAATTTATATATTATTTAAATTACTAATGTCTTTTACGTACATGAAGATTACATGAAAAACATCTGATTGAATTCTTAATACATGTAGATACTCGGTATTTAAAAAAAAGTATTTGTACATGCATTATGCAACAAATGAGAGCAGACAGCTTTCTAGCATTATTATTTATCTTATTTCCAAGTAAAATTTCTTTTTTATTTCCTCAGGAATTAAAGAGTAAATTCTATCAGTGGCGAAATTAAACTTGCCTAAATACAGGAAATATTTTTATGTGTACAGTCTCGACTTTATCCAAGTTTTTTCTTACCTGTCATCTGTAAAGCCTTTTCCTCTTTTACAAAATTTGATTTTATACAAATAAGAAAATAAGTTCTTTCATATATAGTATCATTATTCAAGAGCCGATAAATCGCAAGGGGGTGGGGGGTGGGGTGTCATGACATCATTATTTTTAAAAATTGGTTTCATGAACGTGAAAACATTTTAGAATTGGCCAACATAGTCACATGTTTAAACTCCATATTAAATGTGAGTGTGTGATTGTTTCAATCGCCAAATTAAAAAAAATAAATAAGTAAAATAAAAAAAAACCGAAATGTTTCACTAACCCATCTTCCGTTTTAGTGCCAAATTATAGTGGGGAGTTCAGCAGTAGTTTAACTCAAGAAATATATTTTTATAACTTATTTTTCAGGTTTTTTTTTATTTTTAATTGTTCTTCGGATTAATATTATTTATTTTGATTTGACTGCATAGATAAATATATTTAAGTTTTTACAAATATCATGAAGTAAACATCTCAACTTCGTTGAATTAAGTGTTGCGTAAATCTAAAACATTCATCATTGATTCCCAATTTTATAAGAAATGTTCATGATAAACACTTCATTAATTATTTTTACGCATATCCTAGTAAATCAGTTTCAAAAATTAGTTCTCAGACATGTATAAAATTACTTATCAAAACGTCATCTAGCTGAGACGCCGCCCGTGTATAAAATACATTTTGATATTAAAATATTATTTAACATTTAGAATAATGCACTCTGAAGAGTAATTAAACAGGAAAAGAGAAATCATTTTTTTAAAAATCTTTTTCTTTACACTTTTACGCAAAGAATTTACAAACTTCTCTGTAAACTTGTAACTATTTCATTGTGACGCAATATTAGTCAGGTATATGACGTCACTGATACATCAATGGAAACGTGGATTCAACCTGAATAATAGAGCCAATTTTAATCTAAATATTACGTCTGGAGGCGAAAATGAATTATATTTTGAAAATAAATTATTTACTTATTTAGTTTTTTTTGTTTAATTATTTTCTTTAGTGTATCGATTCTAAATATTTCACTAGGATTCCGATAAAAAGGTGTTGAGCTGATTTACCGATGCCACGGGAGATAACTCTTGCATCGCAAAATTTCATAAAAACGTCCTTATATTTTGCCAGAAAACTACTATCAAAAGTGTTTTTCCCACCGATTTTATTTTTTAAACAAAAAAATTTCTAGATTTAGTTAAGTGTGAATTATAGTCCTGTTAAAAATGTACTGTAAATTCCTTATTTTACGCGAGTACTTAATATCGCGAAATGGCCCAAGAGCGTCAAATCGCGGAAACAATAATTCGCGAATCGGTAATTTATCTAGAAATTTTACATACATTAAAGCACCATAAAAATAAAAGCGAGTAATTTTATTTCGCGAATGGTGCTTCTCGCGTAATTACGCGATAATTTATTCCTCGCGTATATTTAGGAATCTACAGTATTAGAAATTATAGTTCTTTGTTTCTGACCTACATTCAATGGTTTATATAGGGGCATTCAAAAACACAAAACACAAGGATATTTTACTAAATAAGCAATTATCAAACAAATCTTCAATTACATTATTCCTTTTGGGCTACATTGATATTGTTTTTAATAAAATATCAAATATTCCTCACATTCGATGTGCCGCCTATTAATACAAAACTGCCTGGTTTTTTTGGTGGACTGCCTCTTATGTATTTAATGTAATTTTAAAGTTAGGAAAAGAATGCAGTTTCAATTCCTTCAAATATTATATATTACGACTCTCGTAATAGTTATTTATAGCAGAATGACTAATAAATAACAGTCTATTTTCGAATTGTCGCCATTGAATTCATCGCCTTAATCGCAAAATTGCCGTTTTTTCCGACACGTTTTCTGGGTTAAAAATCTTTCTTATAAAGCGGAATTCATCGTAAACCTCCAGCCACCGCCCTGTTTTCATAACAACTTCAAATTCAGGGTGTAGATATTCTCGGTATACCACCACAGGTGTGAATGATCAACCCATTTGTTGTCGCCATTTATCACCATTGTACAGTCAGGCAAGGTTATCAAAGAATTAAATGATCAGAAATCCTCATAATTCATGAATAGGATAATTTTCTTCAACATAAACTGTTATTTTAATTTCCTTACGTAAACGGATTTTTTGATTGGTCTGCCAAGAAAGTTAATTCTGCGACGACATTTTTCGGCGATTCCGACTTCAATCGATGCAAAGTATTATTTAGAATAGGAACACATTATTCCAAGGCATTCTGCAATGAAAATGATAGACAAATGTTTTATATACAATCCATCAACATTGGATAGGTTTTTCTTTAGTGACAAACATTTCTTTTGCACTCATTTTATGTCTGTGCATTTTGTTTTAAGAATGAGATATGTGGAGATATCGAACAGTAGCTCAAAAGTCAATTAAACATTACAAAATAGGAGCAGAGAAATCACGTACCTCTAAAACTTCCGATGTGGGATCAGGTGCCATGGAGGAGTGAGCATCACCTGCCGACCGGTCACACCCGCCGTGTGCTCCTTGTCATGATCGAGAAATAACGGAAAAATCCGTCGACAATTCAGTGTGTAAATAATAGCCTAACAAATAGTATGAAAAAGTCATTCAGCATTTCAATTAATGATAGATTGTATTTGCTGACAAGGTCATTGTATTGACCATAGAACTTACGAAATGATGACTTTAACCGAGACTGTTGATATTCTTGTTTCATCAACTTGTTTGTCAATAACTTACTTTGTTTAAGAAATTGTTCATACGTAGAGCATGCTCTGGCGTATCGAACTAAATTGTTTTCGTATAAAATCTATTTTAATCATTTTAAATTTCTAAAACATGTTTTCAAAATAGGGAGAAAACTAAATAAACACAATTTAAAAATAAAGAAGGAACGTTAATTTGATTTCATACTCTGTGGTAACAAAGAACGGTAACTCGTGACTTAGTGATTTCGTTTCCTTAATCCTTAGTTTCCCTAATTACCTAGCAATGTACCATTTTCACCTTCATATGGTATATTGTTTCCTAGTAGAGCTTGCCATGCATGCGATCAATTTCTAAGCAGAGGCAGGTTATAAACAAATAAGTTAATGTTACACAGGTATCACAATTTCGTGAAGACGACTATTTGCTAATTCTAAAATATATTGCTTGCAAATGAATTAAGTCGTTAAGTCGAATGTTGACAGTCGTATTCAATACAAATAGTAAGGCTGTGCTTTTCATACTGATTTACTTTTTTTTTACGGATCACTCCTTTTTATCCGATCGAGACGAAGATGTTAGAGCAGATGTGATCAGAACACTGTGCGGATCTTTTCGATGTTTTCAGATGTCCTAATATTTGCTCTATTTGAAATGAAATTTTAAACCTTGATTTCTATGCCTTACATTAACATCGCTTTCTTAAAGCATTTTAACAATTTTGTTGTAAATATTATAAAAAGGAAAATTATATTCATAAACAAGATCATTTCATTTAGGAAAAAATGTACACCACTGAAAGAAAATAGCAGATTTGGAGTCCAGTTGTATACAAATAGAAGGATGGTTTTATTTGCCTATTCATAAAAAGAAATCAAAGCACACTAGATACAGAAGATTACTTCGACAAAAAGAAAATAGAATTGACAAACGTAGACCTGAAAGTAATAAATTTGTTTTATCAGGATATCAGTGGTTCCATAGAAATTCAACGGATTTGATAAAATTCCAGATTAGAAAACATTTTCAACAATTGAATTAACAAAAGGCGCTAAAAGCATTCATCGTTATAGGAACGATTTTTGATTACACATCATCCGGATAAGACAGTACAGGTTTCACTGTAATAAAGATTTTAAAAAATAATGATAAAGAATGAATTAATGTATCTGTTTACGCAATGAAAAATATGTCACTTTCCGTAAAATACTGTAACTGTTTTCTGCATTAGTAACAAATGCGAATTAAGATAAGCACGTTTCTTCTCTGTAATCACTCCAAAAAAAAAATCCATTCTCATTTATATTAATACAAATTTAACATTTTGTAGGTCATATATATTTATTCAAATTATATAATACATAGTTGCAGAGTAATATAGTGGTAATAAATCCACAGAAAGATATATGTGTACATGCATAATTATAAAAGCATTTTAGAATTATTATATTGCATTATTATATCATTTTGTTAATTTCTTAATATTCATCAGGATGCATAATTATATTCATTAATAGTTCCACAAGATTGTTGATTATTAATGATGTTTGAGAACTAATCTTTCTCTTCTGTCTCTTCTGTAATCTGTCTTTTTCGACAGTTGCATTTGTTGTCTTTTGCTTTTGTAGGAACATTTTTGTCTTGATTGCGTCCTTTGGAGCTCTTTTTCTCTTTCTTTTTCTTTATGCAGGAGAGTTCTTCTTGCAACTGCTGCTTTTCTTTTTTCAGTTTTTGGTTTTCTTCTCCGAGCATTTTTTCGACATTAATCAGCTCTTCCTGCAACCTTTCATTCCTCATAATCAAATTCTCGTTGTCTTTTCCTAAAATTTCCATCTTATGCGTCAAGGAGTCAATTTCCTGCTTCATACTATCGTGAATAGATTCAAAATGGCTCATTACCTCGCCGAGATGCTGTGGATGTGGAACAGGGAAGGTTTCAGCAAATCGTTTACGAAACGATACGATTTCCTGATTAAGGCTTTTTAATCGATTGACTCTCGCCTCATTAGTTTTCTTCAAAGCAATGAATTGAGTTTGTAAAGTCTCATATTTCTCTTTGTATGGAGTATCGAAATCTGACAATTGGTTGTTTAGCTGACTCTGGAGTCTTTTTAACTCTTCTTCCTTCCTATTGCATTCTTCAAGTAGCTCTTCGTGCTTCTGTCGTAGAGTTTTGTAATCTTCGTAACCTTTTTGGTATGTTTCAAATGTTTCAAACCTTGTATCGATGTCTGCAGCAATATTTTCCATCTGACTTGATATTGTTTCATTTCTTTCCATAAGAACTTCTATTCTCTCTCCAGTGGTATGATGTTGTGTGAGTACCAGATTCATTTGAGTTTTTGCCATTTGCTGCTCTGAAATGACCGAATCCATTTTATATCGTGCCGTTTGTTGCTCTGAAAGGACCTGGTCAATCTTTGATTCTTGTCGTTCGTACATCATTTCCAACCTCATCATTAATTGTTCAATTTTAGATACGTTCTCTTTCACGGCTGTATCTGAGTCTTCATATCCTGTCTCTGCACCACCATCATAGGCACAAGCAGTCTAAATATGACATTTAAAGCATTAATTTGACACTACATAAACCTCCATCCACTAAAAATAATTTTATTATGATGAGTTTGTTAGAAAAGACCAATAGAGTAAGCCATACAGAGAAACATTTTATGCAAATTAATGATTACAAAGGAAGTATATGTGTTAATATCATTAAGATTGAAAAATCCTTGCTGATGATTACTCTTTTATAAATTCTTTAGAAGCTTATATATATATATATATATATATATATATATATATATATATATATATATATATATATATATATATATATATATATATATATATATATATATATATATATATAATATGTATCAGAAAAACTTAAAGTATTTTTTTGTAAATAGAAACATTTTTGGCATCAAATTTTGAAATGGTTTTTTAACCCAATCTTTGCAAATTTTTTGTACTTAATTCAGTCGTTTATGGTTTATCAATGATTGACACTAAGTTCATCAAATATATTTGAGGTAAATTGAATAAATGACCTTTCTCCCAAATTAAGTTCAGTCTTTTATTTGCAAGTGGACTCTCATTGGAGAACTAAAGTGGTTGTCACAGATTTACACTTAAACATTATAATTGGTGGATGAAAGCATGGTATGAGTTTGATGTTGGTTTAACAATGGAAAAATCTTGGTGACAAAAATATCATTTTAGTTGAACACTTCCAAGTCCTCTTTAGTCAAGCTAGATACGGATAAGCAACACAGGTAATACGATATAAACTATTTTTCTAGCCTATCAAATGCCGTGTTACAACCAGTACATTGATAAATTAACTACAAAAATGACGATACCTTTGCCTGATTGTACGTTTGATGTCCGATCACACATAGATTAGGGGCGTTGATATTTGCTACTAAAAAGTGATAATAATAAATTACATATATGAACTGTAGTCTATATGTTTTCTAGAAAATATAACGAATAAATCTTACCCTCAAGCCTTTTTTATATATCAAAAGTAGAGATGTGCGCTTTATTTTTAAATCTTTACTAATATTTTGAAAATATTTTCAAAATGTTTCCATTTTGTCCGATTGTCTTTTCAAACAAGTGTATTGAGGAGGGTAAATGGGAGACATACCAGACTGAAACGTATACCTTTAGGCTGAAGTTGAGACGACAGGTCTTCGCGGCCAGTGTTTCTGATAGCGTTGATGAAGGTCTGGAAGTGTTTGGAGTTATTCTGTTTGATGAGAATAAGGAGGAACTTTTCAGTTCGCTCTCTTTCTGTGATATGTGCGGTCTTCAACTCTTCCAGATTTTCTAAGGACAGAACACCATTTTCCACCATGTGGTCAGCAATGTCAGAGAGCCGTACTTCTTTCTTGATGACACCCCACAAAGACCGAACTTTCTCCTTGTAAGTACTGTCTGGTCTCTCCATTTTCTTTACCCTAATAATGGACAAATAAAGCATATTTTAATTACTGCTTTCATGAATTCTATTTTTTATGAAATATTTTCTTGCGTATTTCAGTGTACATAGTATGACAAGTTAATAGTCGCAAAAGCTACATTTGTCTTATCCAACAGATATGAAGAAGAAAACACTTGCTATGACCTTCAACTCGACATTTAGATAAATATATATATCGCCGACGTATTGTCAATTAACAATAGTTACTCCCATTCATATGTCTTCTTAATATATGCTCGTGAGCTTGAAATAAAAGACGCCACCGATTCTTATACATCTGTTTCATATTTGCATAGCTTACTAGAAAAAAAATTTAATGGTAACCTTACAACAATGCTTTATGATAAACGTGACGACATCAACTTTTCAATCGTCAACTTCCCTTACTTGTGTAGCAATATACTCTTATCACCTGCGTATGGGGTTTATGTTGATTCGATACGCAAGAGCATCTTCTACGCACGAACAATTTCTAAAACGTGGCAAGCTATTGAAAAACAAGTTGATGAAAGCAGAATATCAACAATTTCGCTTAAAGTTATCATTTCACAAGTTTTATCGTCAATATAATGACCTTGTTAGCAAATACATTTCATCATTAAATCAAATGCTGATTGATGTTTTTCATACCAACTAGGCTATTATTTACACACTGAAATGTCTACGGATTTTCCGTTTTCCCCCGATCATGACAAGGAACACAAGGCGGGTTTGACCGGTGGGAGGGGATGCTCATCAATGGCACCTGATCCAACCTCTGATGTTTTAGAGGTCCGTTTGAATGGACTTATGAGCTTGAATTTTGTTCGTTATCTCCAGAAAAAAAATCAGCAAAACAGCGACCTAACTCGAAGAATAAAATTTTATGAAGTCGTGATTCCTAATATATCATTTGCGTCCCAAGATAGGAATTTTTTTTTGCTTTTATTCATATTTTTAACAATTTTAAAAGCGTCAACAATATGTAAAGTAAACTATATGGAGAACATTCAATGTTTTATAGTTGGTGTTATAAAATGACGACATCCTAACAGCCAACATGTCTTAAAACTGTTAGAACCCGATACTCTTAATGAACACTTAAGAGTGTTTCGGCGGTATCAACAGAACATATCATTTAAAATTATTTAGGAAGGGGCCACCTCATCAGAGGTCACGCTTATGCACACCAATTACTTTCTTCGAATTTCAATTGATTTTGAATTTGATTTTATGATCAGTTCACCTATATTATTTAGTTTATTGTATGTATACATACGTAGGGGTGTGATTAAGTGTTTAATACTTTTTCATTATCTATATTATTCCGATATTTCATAAATCATTTTCTAATTTCATATATATATATATATATATATATATATATATATATATATATATATATATATATATATATATATATATATATATATATATATATATATATATATATATATATAGTAAGAATCAAATTAGAGAGCCTGAAAATGAAAAAAATAGGTCTAAAATAATTAGGTTTGAAATGAAATGTTTTATCCATCGATAAATAAATATTTTAAAATTAATTTAAAAAAAGAGAGAAAATGAAAAAAAAAACTAGCTGGATATTCTGATTTCTTTTTAATGATGAAGAAAATTGCACCATGTCATTTTTTCTGTATGGCGAAAACAATTAAAAAGTAATTCAAAAGCCTGTTTATCTTGACACATGGTTACAATTTACACTTAAAGAACCAATTGCTACTTACCACGATATTCGCACTTCTAATTCTGAAATTGATCTAGCGTTTATCAAACTTTTAACTGGAGTGTACGTGTTCCTGGAGATATTTTCTTATAATAATAAAAATAAGGACTAGTTTCTTAAAATTGCAAAATACTGCGGGATTCATTTTACGCAAGGAGAGTAATTGCTAATTTTCTTATTGAAGTTATTATAAAAGTGTCTTGTTACTTAAGGAAAATAATCTTCACAGACTTCTTATAAAAACCTAGCATGAGATAAGATTGGTTAATTGGTTAAACTTAATTTTATCTATTCTCTTAGATGGGGGTAAAACCAAATTCGTCAGTGCTTAATTTGGCTCCAGTTCTGTAACATGTATTTGTGATAATGTCTTTAGAAAATATCTAACGAATGGATTTTAAATTCATTGTATCTCATTGTATCTCTTTAAATTAAAGGTTATATTTGATTGTGCTGACAAATAATGAATCATAACGCCAGGCTAAGCCATTCTATGTTGAATGATACATGCATGAGAAATTATGTGATCAATCCTCCAAGGTAAAACAGAAATTAAAGAATTTCTTAATCATACAAATAAAGCCATTTGTTTCGAAGATATTAATATATTCACAGTCTTTTCATTCTCAAAATATTAAACTCCTGTTTCCTTGTCATTTTGAAACTTTGCATGTTTGTTAGATGAAGCCTAAGTTCCTGAAACGATACAAGAGACGGATATCATATAAAAAACACCCCCCCCCCCAAAAAAAAAAAGAAAACCAAACAAACAAAAAACAAAACAATAACAACAACAACAAAAACTACGGAAGTCCGTTGAGGCCAGATCAGAGAAAGAAATATTTTTATTGTATTTAAACGCAATAATATTTTTGCGTTTAAACGCATTAATTTTTCGATTAAACGCAATACTTCTGCGATTAAACGCAATAGTATTGCGATTAAACGCAATAATTTTTGCGATTAAACGCAATAATCCTTCCTTATAAAGATTTTGCATTTAAATACAATGATACTGTAGTTTCAAAATCAAACATGAATTAGTCAAAGCTTGTAATCATATGTACATGTACTAGGATCCTACACTTCAACTTTAAGAAGATCCGACTTGTTCTGTGTCTTTTTGCAAAATTTCCCAGTTTTTGAAAATTGTAGTAAAACAATGGCATCCTAACAACCTGAATGTCTTAAATGTAATAGAACCCAAAACTCTTAATGAAGTCTCTGATCAATTGCTTACGTGTATCACAACTTATAGAGAATGCTTCAGTTGTATTAATAGCACTTGTCAATTTGATACATGTAGTACACATCGATCAATCTGTTTTCATTTGCTTTTGATTTTGATCTCATATAAATCCATCACATATGTTCTTGTCTTTACTGTATGCAACTATAGGAAGGGTTATGAATGTACATTTAAGTTTAAATACTTCATCATCTTGTACGTAATTCCAACCTTTCCTCAGTCCTTTCCAAAAATCCCTTTATACCTGGGTTAAACTTGTGACCGCAACGTAGGGGACAGTTTTTTTTAACAGAGTAACTGACCAAAACTTCATTAAGAATGTAGAGAATAATAAGCTTAGGATATGTCTCGTTCTTAGGTTGCCCAACATTTTTTTCTCCTCTATAAATTCTTATAAGTGATTTATCCTTTCAAAAAGCGTTTGCTTGGAGAAATCTGATTCTATAAAGCTAGACAATACACAATTTCCTAATAAGTAAAAAGAGAAAGAAATAAAAGATATAAGTATGCGTGGGTTCATTGTACTCTGCAAGGTTTGATACTAATGAACGACTTTAAACACAAAGATTATTGCCTTTGAACGCAAAGATAATTGCGTTTAAACGCAAAATTATTGCGTTTTAAAGCAAAAATTATTGCGTTTAATCGCAAAATTATTGCGTTTAATCGCAAAATTATTGCATTTAAACACAAAAGCATTGCCTTTTAACGCAAAAATTATTGCGTTTAATCGCAAAATTATTGCGTTTAATCGCAAAAGTATTGCGTTTAATCGCAATATTATTGCGTTAAATCGCAATATTATTGCGTTTAAACGCAAAAACTATTGCGTTTAATTGCAAAGTTATTGCGTTTAAACGCAAAAGATTGGGTTTAATCGCAATCTTTTGCGATAAAACGCAAAGTGTTTTGCATTTAATCGCAATACACATTGCGATTATACGCAATTTTAGCGTTTAAACGCAATGCTTTGCGTTTAAATGCAATACTTATTAGACTTAAATGTACATCCATAACCCCTGCTATGGATGCATACAGTAAACACAAGAACTTAGGTGATGGATTTATTTGAGATCAAAATCAAATGAAAACATATTGATCGATGTGTACTACATGTACCAAATTGACAAGTGCTATTAATACCACTGAAACATTCTCTATAAGTTGTGATATATGTAAGCAATTGATCAGAGGCTTCATTAAGAGTGTTGGGTTCTAATACATTTAAGACATCCAGGTTGTTAGGATGCCATTGTTTTACAGTCCCTGAAACGTTCTACTTTCCCACTTGAACGGTGAGCGAACGCTGAACGAACGCAGAGCGAACGGTGAGCGAACGCAGAGCGAATGGTGAGTGAACGATGTGTGAACGCTGAACGCAACTTGGTGAACGGAAGGTGAACGCTGAACGGTGAGCAAACGCAGAACGCAGACGGAGCGCGAACACGGGCGCAAAGTAAACGGTGAACGAACGGTGAACGCAAGATGAACGATTTATTCGGAATGCCTCTGATCTTTTCCATGCATCGTATACATTCTATTGCATTCTAATGTCAGACGCAAAATAAATAAATAAACAAATATTCAAAAATTGTCCTCAGAAAGATGAAACATGCACAAATAGTAAAAGTATTAATTAAGTTTCTTAAAATATTTTCTGCACATATGTATGATGTTTAAATTCAGCTTTTTAATCACACGATTTTTATCGCTGTAAAACATTGTCATTGTTACCGAACGCTGTAGTTTGAAAGACAAAATTATTCTAGTTGTAAAATAACTATGTTTATTATTTTTTGATATATAAAACCATCACAAATAATGATTTTCGAAGAGAACATTACTGATTTATAGAATGAATTACAACGGTTGTTACAACCATACATGTATTTCCGTGTCATGGCAATTCCGTGAAAAATAATGAGAACAAAATTAAAAATATTTTTCTACGGTCTGTGGACGTATTGCATGTTTACACTCGTATTTACAAAA